ACTCTTGTCTCGTGCAATTAAAACAGGCACCATTGCAATAATTAGTATTCTCAACAATTTTAGTTTATAATAAGTACACCACGGATCTTTATGCATTTATAGTATGTGCAGATTTTTAATATACGATATATCGTGTGAATTGACAAGATCTAATTTCATTTTTATTTTCTGTTTACAACTAGTAATTTTTTAGTTGTCCGATTTGTGTGAAATGATGCACGAAAATGAATATTTGCATAAAGAGCCGCAATAGAATAATAAGGAATAAAAATTATGGCGTTTAACCATAAGTTTGTGAGAGAAGTGCAAGCAGAAGACTATTAACAGATGGAAGTTATTATTGAAGATACAGTAAATTCTCTCTAATTTTCTTTCAGCTTGTGAACAAAACTGGACAATTTGAGAAGAGGGGATACGATTATTCGAGCTTCGCGACTAATTTTTATAGTTGCCAATTGTCAACAATTATAAAAAAAATAGGTGAATTAGGGAGAATTTACTGTACTCAGAATTACTTGTGGGATATTGTTGTGTAAGTATGTCGTGGGTCTTGAGGCTACGACAGGGTGATCATGCGAATCTTCTACGCCTCGCACGCCATCGACAACCGGAATTTCATTGACCTTAGTATCGGCCTCCGACTTCGTTATTATTCTGAGGTGCAAGTCGGTTATCACGTTACCCTCGTCATCGTAGGTCGACGACATTGACACTTTGCAAATACTGTTTGGACAGCCATCCAGGCTCGGTTTGATTTCTTTCCCGTTGATAGTAATCTGGATATTATTAATAATATCCGACAGTCTCTTCGAATTCTCCTGGAAACATGTTTTGCATATCAATGGAAAGAACAAAATTGCTGGTTCTTTTTATTTCGATTTTTAATAATTTGTAACATTTTAAAAAACATGAGATGAAGTAATACATTATTCTGTCTTATCTTTTTCATTTTAGATCAATTGTTAATTGCACAGTTACGATACATTATTACTAGGCTACGGATTTTTATGCACAATAGAAATTTTCTACGCTCGTTGCGAGAAATAGAATGTAAATAGAAAATTTATTCTTCGTTTAATAATTTTAAATAGATTAGAAATAATACATTTTAAAATTTTCTTACACTTTTTCGGTTATTTTATACTTCAACTACTCAATTTTCCCATAAATTCATAAAATATTGATTAATTATGAAGTCTTAGCTGATCTCTTGCAGCACCTATCATAAAGACGATTATCACTGTGTGATTTTCTGTCGATGAAACACGAACGTTTATGTTGTTGAAAATATCACAATTTGCCTCAAGTCAGTATTTTAATACATAAATAAATTAACGGCAAAATCGTGTATCAAGTTTTAAGGAATGATTGTAAAGAAGATGCCTCAATCATCGCGTCTGTAAGAACATTTTTGAAGCAGTACTCTATTCACAAAGAGAAGTAATCCACAAAATAATAATCATCGAAAAGATTTTATTTTATGAGATCTTTACAACAATTTGTTTGAAGCAAAAAGATGTAAACCAGCTTTAAACATTAAATTTAATTACATAATTATTTCGATTATAAAATAAAATATAACATGTTATTTGAAATAATATTTCAAATAATGTTATTTCAAATGAGATTTGGAATAATATTTCACATAATGTTATTTCAAATAAGAGTTGACATAATATTTCAAATAGTGTTACTTAAAAATAACTATGAAATAAAATAACACGTTATTCGAAATGATATTTCAAATAATGTCATTTTAAATTCGCGCAAGTCTGGCTGTAACAAATCGTTCCTCAACGTTTTAACGACCGTTGTGCCTGATGTTTATCGAAGCAACGAATAAATTGCAAGTGCCGTGAAGAATTATTGACTCACTCGTTCCATATTGTTGGTCTGTTCCCTCAACTCTTCGTGCAAATAGCTGAATTCCGAGCGGCCAGTGATTTTGTTGAAATCCACGACATTCTTCGGTTCGAGGACACCGATGTATCGATCACCTTCCATCGGCCGGAGGTTGATCTGCGAGGAAATTTCCGTGCAGAAACTATTCAGCGCGAATGTCACCAGAAGAACTGCAACAATGATCTTTGTCATCCGCTTCTCCATTGTTTGCTCGCGGGGTTCACAGTCTTTTTGCCGTACGGAACATTGACTGCCGTGCGAAGAAGTCGCTTCGAGAAACGGATGAACATTGGGACAGGATGTGTGCAGTACAGTAATGACAATGATTGCCATGCATGCATAAGAAAATTACAACGAACTCTGTAAACTAGCAGAATAAAAAAAAAAAGAAGAAGGACGCCCGACTCGCGGAAGACTATTCTCATAGAAAAAAGATACGAGTAGGTGATCTTAATTGCTTCCTGAAGACTGTATCTACAGTGCAATCTCAAGCAACATCGAGGACTTCATTATCACGGGGAATTAAGAACGAATGGAAATGTCGGCGATTACATCTAGATTGAATACGATGAAGTAATCAATGTGTTGCTTCAATTAGAGCTTGATTTATCCGACTGTAACATTATTTCACGGTTTAATTTCTTCATTTTAATTTAATTATGCTTCAATTAGAGCTTGCTTCAAATGCTAGTATCTTGTATTATTTTACGGTGTAATTTCTTACCTTTGTAATGTTGTTTAATTTTAATTTAATACGGCAATGCATTCACGTCGCGTGAACGCAATATTCAATTATTTTTAGATACATTATGCTGGCATAGCTTTACACAACGATATACAGAGAAATAAAGTAACATAATAACATAGATTTATATACTCCAGATTAGTTTAAAAAGTTTGCGAGCGTAAAATGTAATAGCAGAAGCCGAGTATCTGCAAACAATATATCTAAAGAAGTTTAATTCGAGAGTATCGATTGAAATGAAATTATTGATTCAATTATATTTCTGCATAAAAATATGTAATACACAAACGTTTTTCTAACTAATTAATCTGTGTAACTAAACAGATTATCTTAGAGTGTAATTTTATAATTAGATCTACAGAGAAATTAGAAATGTTTGCGCGCAGTTTGATCACAATTAATTTTAAAAGTACAATATATATATATAATTTTTAACTAGTCAGTAAAATATTGAATATCTCTCTCTCTCTCTCTCTCTCTCTCTCTCTCTCGGTATGATTATTATGAAATACATTGATATAGATTTTAAATTAGTTCCGAATTTTCTTCAACTATCATTCAACTGTTTCTTCAAACTATTGAGTTCATTCAGAAGTTTCATTGACGATCAGTGCAAATAATGCGGCTCTGAAAATGAAGGTAACGTTCGCATGACTGGCAGACGCAGCGCGAAATTTTTCGTACGAATAATACGGGTGCAAGCCCTGCGAAATTGCTTTTGCCAAGATGAGATTTGATGATGAACGAGCCCGGGAAAACGGAGAGGAGTCGCGTAATTGATGTCATGTTGCTCTTTCGACGCGGGAAACAACGACTAACTACTCTGAAATGCACCCTGTTGAAACGCCATCGTTGCCTTGCGCAGGGGTTGAAGCAATTTTGAATTCCCTCGTTTACATTTAACGTTTGCCTAAACCTCTGAGCAAACGGAGGGTCGTGAAAGCTCATTGAAATTCATTAAAACTCTTCTTGCAGCTATCCACCCTTACAGGCTGCAGCAATCGATTTCCCAATCATCGTGCTCGTTTAATCCGGCTTTAATAACGTCGTATATAGTACTTTGACGCGATCGTTCCTAATCTGAATGCCTTTAAATCAAATGCTACGAATAATTAATATTTATTTCGCTTGTTCGCTTCACAGCTAACAAAGAGGTTGCAAGATTGCTAAAAGAAATGAAATTAAGCCACCTGTACCTGATATTATACTTTACAATCTTGAATGGAAAAGTCTATAAATTTTTCACTTGAATACATGTAGTGTCAGAATAATAAAACTAGACTATATTTATGTTATGCGTGCTTTATTAAAATGATTAAAAGATGAAATACATTGTCATCGTTAGACTAACAGATTTTATGTATCTTTTAAAAGGAAGAGTGGATCAAATGCAAAGTACCAAAAAGATTTAAACAATTTGAAAATGTTCTTGTATTACTGTGG